CACCTTTTAAAACTGAGAAGAGAGTTGAAAATATGATGGATAGCAGACTATTTTTGACAAACCTTGAGGTGTTTGAAAATATGGCCAAACACTGCCTTGAGTGTTTGACATATTTTCTCAATCAAAGCTTAAACTAAAGAGGAAAGGATGAAACAAAATCATGAAAATCCATGCTAAAGATGATCAAATACCATTTCCTTTGTTTAATTACGACAATTTTGAATGATTTTAAGAATGAATGATGAACTGGGTATGCAAAAGCCAGCCCAGTTTAACAAGTGGTGAGACAACACTGGAGTATATCTTGCTTAACATTGTGAAAATACATGAGTACTCTACAGAGAAGTTATTACCTGGCAAACAGAGCTGAGTACAACGTCAAGAAAGGCCTGCTCCTTTGTTCCCTCCCCCCTTACTCTGTTTCTCAGTAAATCCCTATTATAGGACTTCCTGCCCAGGTCTCTGCACAATACATACATGTAGTCAGAGTTTGCGCCTGATGACAGAGGGACTGTTGCTTTAATTTCAATGGTTATTTTGTGTAGGTCCTGACATAGAAAAGTGGCTCAGAGTATTCTGAAAGAAGATCAGTCCTAACATCTATGCTTGCTGTATTTGCCTTACAGGTTGCAATAGTTGGTGTTATTCGAGATGCACAGGAGTCTGCTACAAATATAATGTACACAATCAATGACATGACAGGGGAGGACATCATAGTTAGAAAATGGCTTGATAATGAGGTAGGACTTGTGTTGATGACACCTTTATAATTTTATAGACGCACATGTACATGGAAGACACCTTAGTTTGTAGCAGAATGGTTTTATTTTGAACATTATGATGTTTTCCCCCTTTTGCCAAGTGTGAACGGACCAGACAACACTTTGTTGCTCTCCTTTTTCCTCTGAGTACTTTTTGTAACTAAATCACTTTTAATACATTTTGATGAACATTTACAGGAAAGTGATGTGGAGAAAGAGAGAAGGTCTTCTTGCAGGTATTTTGGATATCATGGGGCAGGAAGGGAGTGGTGGATGTAGTAAAGGGCTAAGGACTGTAGAACCAAAATTTCACAAATTCCCTAGTGAATACATATGCTTTGATCGACCGCATGAACCTTTTGCATTTGGCTTTACTGTTTTGCTTCAAGTTTTTGAGACTTTCATTGCTGACTTAATTCATTGGTTACCTAAAACAATTGACTTCTTAACCCAACTTTTCTGCTTGTAGACTCCCAGTTTACAACAGAACTACAAGTACTTGATTCCTGTTTATTTTGCTTTCCCTCATTTACATTTACTTGTTCCTGGAAAGACTATTGAGATACATACAAGATTGATGGCTCCTGACACGGACAAGATTAACAAGTGCTACCTGTTTTCCTCTGTTTTCAGAGAAAATACCTATGTACGAGCTGTGGGTCACTTAAAGTCCTTCAAGGAGAATAGCCGCAGTTTAATCGCCTTCAGCTTAAGTCCTGTGCTTGATTTCAATGAAATTACACATCATATGCTTGACATTATTCATTCTCACCTGGCTTTGAGCAAGGTAAGAACTGTTTGATATTCAGGTTTCATAGCTCTTATTATCATCCTATTCATGCTGTACTGTAAAACTGTAAACTTTGTTTGTTCTTTGTGTAACTTTCATACTGTCAGTAATAAATATGGCCCTTTTCATTACTGCTTTATACGCTGGAGTATTCTGAGAGGCAAGAGTTTCATGATGACCATGTACTGGTACTATTAAAAGTGGGATTATTAGAGGGATTACATATTGGACTTACTTTTATTGAAATCACAAATTCGTCACCTGGTTGTCTGAGCCTGGGATACAATACACTGACTTACTCCACAATGCTTCACAGTTACCAATGCTGTCTCACCTTTAAACAATGCATTTGTTTTTAACCTTAGCTATCTCAAATGTCTGGTATGAGGACACCTATGAGTAACACCACTCCCAGTGGGCGTGGCTTCCAGGGTCAAATGACGACTCCCAGCAGGATGGACCAAGGATTTGGAGGAAATGCTGGAGCAGCAAATGCAGGACTTAGTGGCATTCAACATCAGGTTAAGTTAAATGCTTAAAATCTTGTTGCCTTGTTGATGCATTAAGTTTATGGGCAAAACTGTGTACAAGGTTTAAGAAACTGTTTCCAAGTACATCTTTTCTAATGTAGCTGAATGTCACATATTTAGCTAGTCATGGTGCTTCTCTTTGTAGAACACGACATTAAGGGGGAGGGGGCTGGGAGGCAGAGGTATCAGTATTCAGGAAATACTAAATGGCGTTTAAAATAAATTAACTTGAAAAAGGAACACTTGGAATATTGAATTACTACTTGTAATGCTTGATGATGACCAGTTAGGATTGGTAAGTTTAAGGATTTGCTAGGCCACTTGCTTCAGACGAGAAAGTTTTGGATCTTTTGCTAGTAGCATTTTTATTGAAGGAAATCTTGCAAAATCTTTCAAGCATTTAGTTCAATCATTTCCATCACTGGCTGACTGTATCATTTATTGCTTTTCAGATTCACAGAATGATTACATCCTGTCAACATGAGGAAGGCATGTCCTTTGGTGAAATTAAACAGAAAGTTAGAACATCAGATCAACAAATAAGGTGAGATATGAAGTTATCTGTTACTT